AAATAGTTGTATGAAAAGTTCTACTTAGCAAAACCTTTATTGGCATTTTACAAATCAGTTCATTTAACTGTGAGTTTGGATTTTTATTGTGTACAAAAAAAAATCATTGGTTTGGCCATTTAAAAATTTTTAAATGGCTATAAAAGAGCAGTTTTAAAGTAGCTTTTCTTTTGATTTTTACAGCTTATTTGACATGCTTTTTGCAGCAACATTCTAATTCCTTTTTTATGGTGTCACAAAGTTAAATAGTTATGTTTTCAAATCTTTTAAAAATTACTTTATTAACTGATGAAAATATTGGGTGTAATCAATGAGCTTTTAATTTAGAGATGAACAGTTTTTCACAAGGAAAAAAAACTTTAGCTTTATAAAATGAATGCTGACTTTGGGGGCAATTTATGCTTTACATATATCAGAAAACCTCAAGGAGGAAAGTGATAATTTGTTTTGTATGCAGCGTTCTTGAGTCAATCTAGTAAATACAGAAAGTCTACACTTATTTTTCCAATGTCATTTGTGTTCACTATTTGAAACTTCTATTAAGGTTTCCTATTAGTGGTTGAGCTTTGTTTTACGCTAAACTGAACCATTCAGAACTATGATATTAATAATTATATTAGACTTTTTTTGTCACCTTCTTCCAATTAAATGGCACTGATTCTGGTATGCTGAACGGAATTAAATGCATGACTATCAGACATTTAGCGACCAAAAATATACTTTCTTCTGAATGATAGGTTTAAGTATACTCTTCCCTACCCTCTAACCTCAGGGTTCCTAGACAATACTTGATTAATTTGAAACCCTGACTGAAACAATTCTGTCCTTACAAGTAAGTAATTCATGTAGTTGAGGATATTTTAATTGGGAAAATTTGTTTCTGTTGGTTTTTGTGTATATTTAAATATCTACAGTTATGATCTACTGTGAACTAAATAGAACTATTTTGTTGATGGTCTTCATTAGGTATATTTTGGCCAAAAAGGAAGCTCTATTTGAATTGAAATGAACAAGTAAAATAGTGTCTGCCAGTACATGTATATATACCTCCATTTTTGGTAGGGTTACTGCAGCCTCTTAAACTACTGTCTAACTTACCCCTAAGAAGTTTGAATTATGTGAATTAGTAACTGAAGCCAGTCAGTTAATAGTTACTATCAATTCCAACTTCTAAGTGTCTCTTGGATTTATCAATTTTCTCATATTTCACCACTACCATTCTAGTTCATGCCAAAACTATCTCTGTGCCAGATTGTTAAATCAGCTCCATCACCTTGGCCTCTTGTCTACAGTCTTGCCCCATTCCAATCCATTCTTAGATACAAATCTAGATTTTTTTCTTAGATACAAATTTAATCATGCCATCTTCCTGGTTAATTTTTTTAGTGGCTCACCACTGCATTCAAGATAAGGTTCATACTCCTTAAGTTTAATTGCTTTCAGTGATCTAGCCTTTATTTACCTCTTTCCTTGTCACTTTTCCTCTGCCCACTTGTTCTACATGCTAGCATAGTGACCTCCTTGTACTTCTCTGAGCACCCTTTATTCTCTCTGACCTCTGACTCTGTTACATGCTGCCCCTTTTTTCCTGCACTTGCCATAGAACTTCTACTTTTCTTTTGATTTAATGCTACCCCTCAACCCCAAACACTGCCATCATATCTTATACTTAATTCAGATTTTAAGGAGGGAATTTTTCATGTTTATAAATTTCTGAAATCAGGAAACATGGTATGTTTACACCTAGATGTATAATTTCCCTGGAAAATCTGATTTTTTAAAGTGATATAGCTTTTTACAACGGTTAATAACATCTTAGAATCAAAGAAATGCATTATGGTACATTACTTCTTTACTTATTACTCTTCCATCTGGACTGTAAATTCTGTAAGGAGAAGAGGTTAATCTCTATGTCCCTACCTGACAAATAGGAAGATTTTCAGTAAATAATTAGTGAATGAAGGATAGAGCCTAAGCTAAATAACTTACTGGTTTATTATTTGACAACTCTAATTGCAATTCTGTTTTATTTTTCCATATTAAGTGTTTCTCGAGAAACCCTAAAAAGTAGGAAGAAATCAGATTACAGTCTAAATAAAGTGAATGCACCTATTTTAACAAATACAACATTGAATGTAATAAGACTTGTTGGTAAGTAGCTATACCTTTTTTTTAAAAAAAAAACAAAACATTATAGCAGTTAAATTAGTGTATTTTGTTACTGAATGATTTTTACTTGGGGTTTCCATTATATGATAGTGTCCTTCACAGTGAGGGATTTAAGATTATCATATGTCAGTGCTTCTCATCTTAAATGTTCCAAATAGTATAATACTAATATTAATGTCAATTTCTCTTTTTCAGTTATTTATGTGTTAACTCTTTGTATTTTCCAATTTTTCTAAAACATTTCAGTTAATTAAAATGTGCTGAAAAATTCTCTAGGGAAGTTAGAAGTACATGTAGGATGATGGTAGTAACAGTTTCACATGTACACAATATTTTTCTACTTAATTGTTTCATAGATCTTTATAATCTTCCTGTCAGGCAGAGTGAGTAGTGATTCTCTGGTATTTTCAGACACAAGGGTTCTATAAACTAAATGTTCATATCATAGGAAGTTTTGTTCTCATTACAGATAAGACCTTTATTGATGATTTAGTAGAAGGCAAACCACATGAAGAAATGCCATTTTAAATATTCAGGTTTGATGATGATGTGAATTTTTAATGCCAATATTTCAACATCTTATATCTCACAAATAGGTCTGTATATTTGACAAATAAGGTGATGTCATCTCACATTAATTTTCATCTATACCAATCATGAATTTTAGTGGTTTTCTGTAAAAATCTCTGTATTCTACTTTGGAAGATGGTATTTACCTATTGCCTAGTTTGATTAATTTGAGCTCTGATAAAATGGTCTGTGTTGTTTAGGATAATTTAGAAATTCCATTAATGAATAGGATAAAATGTACAGAATGCTTTTTTAGGAGTCCTGTTTTCTTTAGAGCAAAAATAGTTAACAATGAATTGAGAGGAAAAGAAAAGGTATACATTTTCATGACAAACAGAAAAATGAAAGATTCTAAAAAGCTATCCTGTGACTAATTATTGCCAGGGAAATTAGCTTTTCTTTTTTATCCAAGAAAGCTAACTGAACATAGTATCATGAATTACTCTTTAGAATTTATTGAATCAGAATTGGAAGGGTGCTGAGAGATCATTTGGTATGAACTCCCACAAAATAGGTTTTCTTTCCATAATGCCTCTAATATGTGATGACCATCTAGCCTTTGTTTTATGACTCACAGTCACCGGAATCATATTAATTTGCAGGACTACTCATTCTACCATTAGACTGATCTAATCGGTAGAAATCTCTTCCCTACAGTAAATCAAAATCTCTCTCTGTATTCTGTCTGTTAGTCTTGTTTCTGCCCTTAAGAGCAAAAAAGAGTAAGTCTGTGCTTTTTTTTCTCCTATTCTTCCATGTGGTCACTTTTCAGATACATGGTGGTAGTTATCCTGTCCTTCCTTTCCTCATACCCCCACCCTCTAATCCATTTTTTCAGGCTCAATGTGCTTAATTCATAAGTCCTCAGTGATAGAAATTCCACACCTTTCGGAATCCTTGTCATCCTCCTTAGCCTTCTAGACTTGGTAGTTTTTAGTGCCTGAACACACTAGTCAAGGTATAGTTTGATGCGGTCAGCTTTTGCTAGATTATGTTGAAGGAACAAACAACCCTGATGTATCAGTGACTTTCAGTCACAAGATTTTATTTTTCACCCATGATACATATTGTCTCCTGATCATCTGTAGCTTTGCTCCATGTGTCTCTTTATTCTGAGGTGCAGGTTGAAAGAATAGCATCAATATGGAACATGGGGAGAATAGCAAGAGCCGAACCATGTTTTGACTTTTTTTTTTTTTTTTTTGAGACAGAGTCTTGCTCAGTTGCCCTGGGTAGAGTGCAGTGGCATCATCATGGCTCTGCAACCTCAAACTCCTGGGCTCAAACGACCCTCTACTTCCTCTGACATGTCATGGCCAAAGCAAGTCAAGTTTGATAATGGAGGGGAGAAGTATGTTTCTATTCCAGGAAGCACTGTAGTTGAGGGAGAGAAGTGGACAGGGAGGTATAATGCTCTCACAGAGAATTGGAGTCTGGAGTGAGTGGAGCAGATAATTGGGAAAAAGAATACAATCAGCCATGTCTAAGTAGTTTTTTATATTTTCTGCCTTATCCAGTTCAAAAGAAACTAGAGGTAGTCATGTTTTTTAGTCTAAAAGGCATATACACATTAGAATCAAAGCAAACAAAATATAAGACTAAAACAAAATTGAGGAGGGGGGACATATTTTATCATACGTAAATGCAAACATCCAATGCAGCTCTTAACTTCTTGGTACGCATAAGGAAATTGAAGAAATAATGTATTCCACTGTTCTCGTTGTTTGAGAAAAGAATACTTGCCCTTATAACAATGCTAGAAATGAGCTCCTGGTACTAAATTCAGAAGATAGTAACAACAGATTCTCGTATAAGGATTACTGATCAATGTAGCAGACATTGTTTTTTAACAGTATTTAAAAGTAGGACACAGTTTTGAGTAAAACCTTACTCCATGAACAGAATCTGGTCATTGTAATTTCAGCCTCCACCATCATCATGTCTTTGCTGGAGTTGCAATTAAGAAACAATGCTGGGTATGATAATTTAACTTTCTTCTCATTTAGGGCTCAGATTAGGTGCTGCCATTATCCTCCACCTCCTCCCTGTAGACTTTTAGGCCTATCACTTTCTCTCCCTAGGATGTATTTATCTTCAGTTTGTACATATTCATAAAATAGAACTTCAAGGAAACCATTCTCTCAGGGGTCTCCGACTTAGTAAAATGTACTATTTTATCCCCTGTTGTTATTGCATAGAGGTACCCGAAGATTATAAACTGACACAGGCAATGCCTCTTCTTACAAAGGGAGAAGTACAATTGTGTAAATAAGATAAATTTTTGGTGCCTGGGAAGATGAAGGAACTAATTATTGAGTAGTTAGGAAACACATTTTAGAACATTAAAGGCATACTCAAAATGTCCTTTTCAAGTAATATTTACTTGGCAGATAACTAGGAGAGTTTAAACAAAAGAATGTTAATGGGGCTTCCTTGCCCCAGGTGGTACCTGAATCTATTAGAGAGGCTCAGGGAGGCTTTCTGCTAGTACAGAGGACTAATCAGAACACTCGCTCTTGTAAAGAGAAAATCCTGTCAGCCTGATGATTTCCTGCTGAGGCAGAGACAGAGAGGCAGAGAAATTTTAGGGAATGTGTCTCCTCGCTGAAACAGCCTTGGTATTCAAGGTTCTCTCTCCTGGAGTCAGCTCTTACCTCAGCAGGTGTGATAGGTCTGGGGAATAGGAGGTAGGTTGCCAAAGTCCATGCTTGTAATAACTACAGACCTTACAACAACAAAATGGTTACTTTAGTAGCTGGAAAAATACACACTAGCACATGAATCAAGATTTCAAATGAAACTAGAATATGTACATCTAAGGAATATTTTGGCATAGTATGGCAGAGATGCAGCTTATGTGGTGGAGAGAACACAGAAATGGGAGGGAAGAGATCCACTTCTTCATTGGCACATTCTTTTCAGTGGGGCATTATTTTATTTTGTTATTGAATATTTTAAATTAGAAGATAATGCATGAAAATGATTTTAAAAACCCAAGATGTAAGCGGAACCCCTTGACTCCCAAGTCTCCTTCCTCAGAGAAAACTACTCAGTTTCTCCTATTTTCTTTTGGAAATATTAGTATGCTTTCACAAGTATATTTAATATGTGTATCTCTTCTCCCCTGTTTTTTGTTGTTTTTATTTATTTCAAAAATTTTCTCACACCATGTGTACTGTTCTTTATCTGGCTTTTTTTTTTTTTTTTTTACTTCCACTATCTCAAGGGTACACTTAAACTATCGTAATATATTACATATCTTAGTATGTACAGATCTCATTCTTTTTCATGGTCCTATCGTATAGATGTGCCACAATTTATTTTATACATCCTCTATTTTTGAATATTTACATTGTTTTGAGTCATTTGATACTTCAAATTTCCACAGCAAATATCCTTGAAGAAATAAATATCTTTGTATATAAATATAGCTATAAGGTATACTCCTAAAAATGCTTCCTCCAGCTGGATCAACATTTACAGTTTTGATGGACATTCTATATGAGGTTACTAAAAAGCTTACTAAAGAGGTTCTGTTAGTTTACCCATTCACCAACAATATTTGAGTGTATCTCTTTTTCCCAGTCTCTCAGCAACACTGTGTATTGTCTAGCTTCAGATGCTTGCCACTCTGATATGTTAGAAATTGCATCTCATTCAAAAATGTATTTAATTATGAGTGAGTTTAAGCATCTTGTCATATGCTTAAAAGACATTTCTGTTATTTGTGAACTCTACTTATTCATATCTATTGCCCCTTCTTCCTTCCTCCCTCCCTCCTTTCTTCCCTTTTTTTTTTTTTTTTAAGAGATGGGGTCTCACTCTGTTGCCCGAGCTGGAGTGCAGGGCTGTGATTATAGCTCACTGCACCCTCAAATGCTGGGCTCAAGTGATCCTTCATAGCTGGGACTACAGGCATACGCCACCACACCTGGCTAATTTTTGTACTTTTTTGTAGAGAAGGGGTTGCCCAGGGCTATGTTGCCCAGGCTGTTCTCAACCCCTGGCTTCAAGTGATCTTCCCGCCTTGGCCTCCCAAAGTGCTAGGATTACAGGTGTGAACTACTGCACCTTGCCTCATTGCTCATTTTTCTATAATAAGGAAATTATATGTTTTAATTTCTACACTAAGGAAACCATTTCTGCCTTGTGTATTGCACTCATTCATTTTCAATCCAACAGATTCTTTTGTTTGTTTGTTTTAAGCTGCTACCTTGTTCCAGGCACTTTGCTAGCTCTTTGAGATACAGTCATGAAGAAGACATAGTCTTTGTACTTAAGGAGCACAACATGGGAAATAACATTCAAAAGAAAAAATTTACAACAATGTGATGTTGTAAGTGTAAATAAACAGAAAAGAGGCAGAGGGAAAGGATGATTATTAACTTTCCTTTTTGGGTAGCAGGTGAGCA